CTTGCTCTTAGTATTTTTCTCCCTTACTAATGTGACCATTGGGCTCATTATTTATTCGGAATTTCTCTCGGAAGAGGGGAAGGAGCTACCAATTTTTTTTTTGTTCACTATCGTCAACTGGACCGCGTTTAGTAGAAAAAAACCCAAACCACATCAGCTATTGCCCAATTTAACCGGGAGATTTCATTTTTTACGAGGGGACGTTGGTGCGGATACCTTTGAAAAAGGCGAGGAATCTGATTCGTACTAGGCAGAAAATTCACTGAAATTTGCACAAAAATTCGTACAGCCGTTATTATGTAAAAAATTAAATTGCCTGATTAAATTCGGATTCCTTAACTGCGTGAATTAAGGCCGAATGAGGCAATTTAATTTTTTACATGAAAACGTTTGCGCGTATTTTTGTACTTTCAGTGAAATTTCTGCTTAAGTAGTTCGAAGCGAACTCCTCAAAATTTTTAAAGGTATCCGCACAAACGTTCTCTCGTAAAAAATGAAATCTTCCAGTTAGATTTGGCAACAGTTGATGTGGTTTGGTTGTTTTCTACGTAACGCAGCTTGATCGAGAACTTCGTAGGCACCAGTAGAGACACAGGATCAAACTGAGACAACTTCTTCGGCACTGGTAAAAAAAGAAAAGAGGAAAGTACGCTAGGCTTACGATGCTGCACTTAAAAAGAAAATAGATATACATTTTATCACAATTAGGTAAGTTAAAGAGCTATTTACAAACATTCATCCGACTCCTTGTAACTCTATTACGTCACTTAAGTCATACTTATACGAAGAAGTGCAGTTCAAAATACGCCGACTCAGTGGCGGTTCTTTCCAATTGAGAACCCTGCTTTCCCTCCATTTTAATTCAATAAAAAATGTCGAATATATACTGTTTTAGATATATTGAAATTGAAGGAAACCGGTGTTGCATTTTCGTTCTATTTTAATCAATTATAGATATTGAGTTGAATATATTACATACGTTTAAATAGAGAGAAACCGGTGTTGCTGTTTTCCTCCTTTTTAATCCATTATAGATATTGAATCGATTGTATTACATACGATCAATTAGCGGGAAACCGGTGTTGCCAAATTGCAAGAAAACGACACTTTTAACATCCATAGGCGAGTCAGTGGTTGTGCGGGTTACAGAAGTGGGTGATCACCGTTGGAAGTCACAGGATAGTAACAAATAAGAAGAAGAGAAAAACAGAAATTTGAATTTAAGCCTCCGTACGGAATCATTCTCTTCTCGAAATCACGTCATTTCCTCCAGTTAGCGCATGCCATGGCATCGTTTTTTTCGATATTCTCGATTAATGATGTATACGATAATTACAGGTTGCATAAAATGTACTAAGTACAAGACCAAAGTAGAAGGATTTATAGTAAAATTTCACGCGATGAATGCAGTGGTGTGGCGTGCTTTGCGATGTATCGATTGTTATGCCATTCAAACCAATGGAAAAGGATCGATAAACAGGGTGTTCGCAGCGAACACCTTAAAAAATCGATTCTTCACCATAGGTTTAAATGGCATAACAATCGATACATCGCATATCACGCCACGCCACTGGATGAATGACGTCGTTGGTCTCCTTCTATGACGTCATCTTTATTGACGATGATCTAGGTTCACACACACAATTTTATGACACGTGTCACTGGCTCATTGCAAGTGTGCAGCGTACTTGTTTGAAACAATCTGCAAAACCTTATTTCTCAAAAACGTTACACTCAATGAGAGGGGTGAGGTAAATTGGGTTATCTCCGGTGTTTTTATTCATTTTTCGTTCATTCGATCTTATTTAACCTGTAACCTCTTTTTTATCAAATTTGAATGACCAAAAGGATGGCCAATGATCATGACGACGACCAAATATTAGGATAAGGTTTGAAATTTTTCAAAAAAATTGTTCTTCCGATGAAGTAAAAATACAAAATTTAAGAGAGGAGTCCAGTTTGAGCAAATTACACATCAATTGATGAAAGCCAAAATACGTGACTTCAATGCGACAACATACATGTCTGCTTCTGTGTTATTCACATATTTCCTTCTCAAAGAAAAAATACGAAAAATTATACTTAAAATTTCCTATCCTTTTAATCTTCTAAATGATTTAATTCAAATTTCAGTTCAATCCTTTCTAAAATATTCTTAGAAGCTTCCAAAGAGGTATTTTGGTTGGTTTTCTTTAGTAAAAATTAGACGAAATCCGAGATTTTGAGAAATTGCGATGGGATTATTACGCTTTTTTGAGTATGCAATTTTTCATTTGTCCTCGCATAGAATTCCTTTGGATTACATTTTGGCCATTTTTGAGTATTCATTCATTTGACTTTCTCTAGGAAAGTTTAAATGAATTATCCATATCGGTAACATGTATACTTCAAATCAGTCATTAAAATGTGCATGATTAATAAATTACACAACGATTCCAGTTTAAAATGCTGGTAATGTGAGCTGGCGAGCGTTGCTGATGAGACGGGATACATTAATAATGTCACCCTATAGCTTTAGTTTTTTTTTTCAATTGATGTATTTTAATGCAACATCAAAACATTGATTTTTCCAAGCAGCATAAGAAAAGAAGGAGCAGTAAGCAAAGGAAGAAATCTTCAACCAAAATTATCGTTGCTATTATTATTTTCTGAAAGAAATTTTCGATTGAAAAAACATACAATCAAATGATTCATTCCACACCGTGCCGACTGGCCATCAAGGCATCATAACTCAAGTCATAGTTGGAATTGATAATTAAAATGTTACACACAAGTCAGGTTCACTACACTTCCGCATTCAAACAATCATAGACACGATACCAACGGACAAGATTCGCAGAGGAATTAAAAGTCCGACGGACAATTAACTTTAACAACGTAAATAATGGAATTCAATAAACTAATAGAACATTTTAATGAGAAACAAAACATGTAAAAGGACGGGGATAGCTATTTACATAGTTTTAAAAGTTCTAATGAGCTCAAGCATTCGCTCGCAAAACAATAACAAATTAATGGTCGGACTTATTATGCATTTAATTGACTTATTTTCTTAAATTTATTTTTGAAATTCATTCACCTGATGTTTGAATCAATCATTTTCGTGGGTTGAATTGCACGTAAAACACTGTAAATTTTAAGCAGCTCTTTATCTTCATTATAATTAACACAGATGTGTTCCAGAGTCACCTTCAGATATGGTTACGTGCAGTCTTTCTCAATGCAGTGAAAAATTCGACCATTAAGTTATTTGTTTTGCGCACAGGCAAATGCCGAATGACCCTGCATAGAAAAATACATTTTGTTGCAACTTGAGTTGCTTATAATTCTACGGACGCGCGACGGTAGAGAAGGAAGATCTCTACCTAAAATGTTAAATATAACTAAATACTGTTCATATAAATTTGTTTCTTCTTCCTTTTTGGTTAATTGCTGTAATTTTATAGAAATTATAGCAATTTTACTTTCCAAAAGAGCTTGTTGAAAAATTTGAATACACGGGCAGAAGTACAAAGGGTTCAAACCAAGTTTATATTGCGATTAAAAATGTACTGGGTCGCACCTTAAAATATGCCCAAACCTAAAATTCGATAATCTGAAATTTCCTTGGTGACCTCAGCAATTTTAAAATTAGTTTTTACCTCAGAACATTGATCGATCTAATAGAGAAAGTGAGAAAAATACAAATCAGAAATTTAATGGAAATGTAAGGTAAGAACAGACAATCTCATGAGAATTCCGTTTAAAATTCGCCTTTTGATGTCGAATTACTTCATCTAGCAGGAAACATCTATTTTCGTGATCGGCTTTTTCTTTTGTTTATAGACGCTTGACTAATAAAATACAACTATGAGCTTTGCGTTTTTTATTTATATTTTTTTTAATCACTTTGAGAATAAGATTTGTCCTCCTTAGTAATGTTCAACTCATACCAAAATCACACTCTCTTCAGATATACTATCATACCTAAGTACTCGTCTTCAAACATTAGTTGGATCGGAGTTCTCTTGGCAATTATATGATTTTAACTTTAAAGAAACCTTGTCAGGGTTCGTCCTTGGAAACAAAAAAGTAATAAATTCACCTATAACGTGGTTTTTGTGACAACCAGAGTCTGAAAATTTTGATTCATGGGGCCCTTGGAATATAAAAAAATCACAATCAATGAAAAGGTCGATAGTCGGAGTATTTTGAGAATTCTGACACTGAGATCCAAGAAAATGTAAATTCGAACTTGGAGCAGAGCAAAGTTCTTTTGAATGAGGGAGTCGATACTGCTGTGCTGAGGCAAGACGCCGTGCGAGCATTCGAGCGTTGCCAAATCATATTTTGATTACACACGAATGTCCAGGGAATATTAAGTATATTAAAGAAGATAGTTATATTATGTATACTGCCTTCCAATTTTTCAGATGATTCTGTTTGCAATTTAACCCAAAGCTTCTGAAAAATTTCAAGAATAAGCATAGCTTTCCTTAAAAATAAGTATTTATTCGGGAAGATTTGGCAACATCCCAACAATCATACGGCACTCCTCCTTTGCAGGGCAGTATAGGCGAAAGGCGATTGTGAAAAGCCGTTTTCCGTGATTTCTAGGAATTCGTAATGAGATAATCTGATTTTTTTCCAACGACAGCCGCCTTTCCTAAAACTACGATTTCACTTGACGACGCACAATGGATCGAATCAACGGGAGGGGTCGGACAAAATGTGGGAACTTTAAAAGCTTGTAACTCCGTTTATACAGAATTTTGAGGCTCTAAAAGTGTTGCCATTGGTTTTCTCGTGGGATTGTCTTCTGGAACATTGGGAAAAAAAAAACACATTGGATCTAGAGTCCAGACTCTTAAAAACATTGACAAGAAAAAATACTCTTGATTCAATCAGATTTAAGCTTAAATCAAGAACCAAGCCTCTTGATTTGAGCGGATTTCCTTTTGATTTAAGCTTAAATCTAATTGAATCAAGATACCTTTTTCTTGTCAATGTTTTCAAGAGTCTGGACTCTAGATCCGATGTGTTATTTTCCAGTGAAGCACCCCTTGAAATTTGACGACATAAACATAAAAATATGCAATTCTAGTCAAAATTTTATGTGCGCCTTCTCTAATGGACTCAATCCACTGTGCGACGCGCCATGGGAAATGTCCTCGTGGTCCCAAGAGCGTGGGCAAAAACCCTTGCGTCGTGGCCTTCCATCGGGGTTTCCGTCGGGGGCCCCTCAGGTCTCCTCTTGGAGCAGGGGCGTGGAGGAGCTTATGGCATGGTTGTGGTTGGCCTCGATGTGCTTGTTGTTGTTGGTGAGGACGCTGCACATGGTGTTGTAGGAAGGCGGCATGATGGTGGGTGACGTCACGAGGGGCGGGGGCGGGGAGGGCGGGGGCGGGGACATGTGCAGCGGGGGCGGGGGGTCAGCGTCGGGGGGTGACTCCGGTCGGGCCACCCTCGGGCAGGAGCTGATGGCAGTCGAGTCGTGGCCCAGTAGCCAGAAGGTGTGCATTTTCCCTTTGCCCTGCGGAAAAGAGAAGTTCATGAAGTTAGTTTAAACTATTAGAATTCATAGTTGCGTTCCTTAAGGTGATCCGATGGACGCTGTATTTTGCGTCAGAACGACATGCGATATATCGCATCGATTTAGCTCCATTTTCTCAGCTACTCGTCATTTTTTTCGAATTTTGAGATCGCAATTCTGTTGTCTGGAGTCTGGAGAATTCACTTACCAATTTCGACAAACAACTGCAACGTAATAATGACGTGGTTTTTCAAAAGAAAAATATCGCATTCGATACTGATATCGAAACTGCACTCGAATGCGATATTTTCCCTCTAAAAAAACCACGCCTATATTACTTAGAATTTGTTTTTGTTTGAAAAACGGACTGAACTCTAAGAACTTTTTCTTTGAGCTTGGGAATTGATTTCAGAGAAAACCAGCGGCACCTTAGCGTTTTTTCCGAAAATTTACATTGGAAGAAGTACCGACGACGCAAATCCCTGACACTTGTAAGAACTCCATTATACGAGAGTGATAGTCGATCTACCTACCAAGTGGATGATGAGCTTTGGGTGACGTAATGGGGAAAATAAGTTTACCAAATTTCGGATTGTTAGACAGTTGAATGTTGGAGTCCCAATAGTAAAAGCTGTCATCATTGCCTCGATAAAAGAGTAGGGTCTCTCTTTATATCAGAATAATTATTAAAGTTGAGTGAATTTAAAAATAGTCAAATTTGACTCGAAGGAAGAACCGAAGTTGACTGGATCTTATCTTTCATAAAGGGACAAAATATTATTGAATTTTAAAGTGTTCTTACCAGGTAATATAACGTTTGTTAACATTTTGTTAAATGGAGTTGTTAAATTATAAAAAAGGGAAAAGAGGAGATGGTGGTACAGAAGAAAAAGAGGAAGAGTATGGGCAAGCTGGAAACGAAGCGGTGGAACCTAAATATAACAGAAAATATGAGGAAAAATGAATCAGAGGAGAAATTGTAAGAAGACAAAGAAAGCCAAATCGCCTTCAATTTTTTGGGTATGTGACAAGGCCATCTCTGGAGAACGTATAGTTGTATCTTTACGCTGTTTACATTACTACACATTATAACACGTATCTGTCAGCCAGATACTTCATTCGGCGGTATGAAGTCTATGTATTCTTGCAGCCGAGGACTGTAAATCATAAATTTTAGGATTACTGAGCCGAAACTCATCAAAAATGAGCCAACGCACATTCAAAAGAGGTAAAGGTCGGATTCCAAATTCTTGGTCACAGAAAGTTTCTGTGAAAAAACGAAAAAATGGAAAACGTCTCACCTTCATTTCGACTAATCCTCTTTCTTCTAATAGGAATGTGCCAAACGCATCTAGGATGTGTTTTGTCGATTTGCTTACGTGAATCCTTAGAGCTGAAACACACGGAAAAAAATCAATGTCACGAAAGAAATCGAATAATTTGCATAATATGTTACTATCTTTGCTTATGATAACAGTTGTATTGTCTGTTAGTATTTCATGGACGGCCTCATAGGGTGAAATTACTACCAAGAACGACGAATCAAAACTATTGTGCAATATGTAAAGCGATCCGTTTGGCAAACCTGTTCTTAGCTTGTCAAATTTTTCACCACATATTGAGCAGCATTCATTCATTGGTCAAAGATGATGGCTTTCCTCCAAAATAAACGATGGAATTTTCCTATCTCATTGACACGTCACGAACAGCTTATACACGAAAAAATAGTCCTTCCTACAGTGCAATTTATCCGCATGGTTTAGAATTTTGAGGTGTTTCTCGTGGAGAACATAACTCGGAAAACGTAATTTCAGACATTTTGGCAACTCTGCATTTCCGATGTTTCCGTCTTTTAGTTGCAGACCAGATTTGGGACGAGAATCTTAATCAAGCTCAAAAATTCTAAGGCGCGTGAGTCGTGCGTAATAAGATTAGCACATGCTAGTCAGATTTAACCCCCACACAGATAATGAACTTAATGAATGAAATGGCACAAGCTCAGTTCATTGAAAGCAGTTGAAACCAAATCTTTCTGGCGGAAATGTTATGAATAAATCGATGAGTGATAATATCCGGTACGACTCTTTACATTAAACTTTAAAGAAGCTTAAGTACATGAAAATGCCCAATAATTGGACAAAACTGGTGAGCAAAAGTATCATCCTTTACAGTGCCGTGCTAAGGAAAAACGTCGTATGAACATTCGAGAGTTGCCAACTTTCCGCCGATAAAATATGCATTTATTGGCGAAATTGTGGACATTTTTCTTTCAATTTTTGAGACTATTTTGTTCGCAATTTAATCTAAAATATCTGAAAATTTCAAGGAAAAATATGGATACATTTCGTCGAAAATACATCTTTTATCCGGGGAAATTTGGCAACTCTCGAATGTTCATGCGGCGTTCTTCCGTACCACGACAGTACAACTCTAATGCTCTAATGAAAATTCGTTTGCGTCGCTACATAAGAAGGCAGCGCTTCTTCGACTGAAGCGAAAGTTACCGCTAGCTAAACGGAAGCTCTGAATTAAGCGCACTTAGATCCTAAGGGTGCATTACGTTTGAGTATTTGCAGAGGGTTTTGATATTTTCACTCCGTAAACTTTGAGTGGTTCTCGCCGACGACTTCATCAGCAGGTCTCAATATTAGGGGATGCGTTTCAAACGCTCCGACGACGTACTTAATTGCATGGATGACAGAATTGGACTATTTCTATCAAACGGAACTATGTGCATTATGACGTGGGCCCTGTTATGCGTGTATTCTAATGGGTCTCAGGGCTTACGTCATAATACACATAGTTCCGTTTGATAGGAATACGTCCAATTGAGCGACGAAGTTTTTGATGAACGTTCTCCCTTTTCAAGACTGTCAGATATATTCTATGGCTTTCATTCTGTGATGTGGAACTCTGGCTTATTTTAGAAGCAACGTACTGATAGCTGGATGCGAAGGATGCGTATCTCAATTGGACGTATTTCTATCAAACGGAACTGAGCGTCAATTTGAGTTCCTTTTGAGGGTGATTTCACGATAATAGGAATAGTCGTGTCGCCGTGGGTTATGAACGACATAGGGCAAAACGATTGAAAACCAATTAATTAATCAATAGGAATGATGTCCCTGAACCTATCCATGCTTAAAAATATGATGGATTATTATTATATTTAATAATATGAGACTTTAAAGGCCGAAAATGTCCGGTCGGTTACGCGTCGCCAACCTCGATTTTGAAGCAAAAGAGCAATTTGCGGTAACATATCAGTACTGATCATGAACTCTTTGGCAATATTTGCTGAAAAGAGACTCTAGTGTTCAAGAAAATTGCCAGTTTGAACTGAAATGTTTATTATTGAGTGAGAAAAGTCATAAGAAAGAGGTGTCGCCACATTTGGCAACATATTTTTGCAGTTGTATTAAGTGCAGTGTTTATCTCGCCAAATGGAGTCAGGAGTTTCAAAACTGCCATCAAATGGTTCGCTGAAGTCTTCTTGACAAAACCATTATTGATGAGTCACTTTTTTTTACAATGAAAACTTTAATTTTTATGAAAACCAGTGATTTTTACGTGTGTAGCACTAATTCCTCACTACGCAAAAACCTCAATTTAATAGTATTTAACTAAAAGAAAGTCTTCAAAGTCTAGAAAACTTTTAAGGCAGCATTAATTCCACGTCACAACTCAAGAATTGCCAAGTTTCATCTTTTGTATCATCTTTAATCTCACATTTTTGAGTGTCGGTTACGCTGCGTCTGTTACGTAACCGACACAATTTGGCAGGGCCGCCTTGTTTGCGTGGACCTCCAGCAGTCCCGCGGGAAGCGCTGATACCTGATTCAATGGCTTATTTATCAATCACTTTAACTTTGCACTGAATCATTATAGAGCGTGCCAAAGCTGGGAAAAGGAAGTTTAATACCTTTAAAATGAGGTAATGAAATCCTGTTAAAATTGGTGCACTTTTATTTCTAAGGCATGTCACATTTTAACTATTCCTGTTATCGTGAAATCACCATTGAGGAATTTAGAATGCCGGATAGCGCGTTCTGTCAAACGGACCTAAGCGCCATGGAATAAAGCATTGCGGGTATAGGAACGAATGAGCCCGACGCCCGATTCCGCCGCCAATCCAAGCCCCCCTCTACCTTCCTCACCCTATGGCGCTTAGGTCCGTTTGATAGAAATACGTCCAATTGCAATGTTTAAAATCTCCAATTCTGTCTCGGTTTTTTAAAGGAATAAACAAACCAACATTCTAATTAAAATTTTTTACGAATTGGACTTCGTTTTGCAGTTTGGAACTACAATTTCTGGCTCGGTTTAAAAACGACGCATGCATCATCACTTTCCCTATGCACGTACTCGTTTTTACGAATGACCCAGATATTGTAGTTCCGATTTGCAAAATGTAGCCAAATTTTCTTCATCAACTCTGAGGATTATCCCATACAATTCCAAGAAATAATTTTAGTTGGTTTTCCTTTTGAGAGGAGACTTACTACGTCGGAACACTGAAAAAAAAGGTGCTTGGCTCAAGCATGATACTTCTTGAATTTGCCGCCAAAAATTTGTCTTATCTCGATTTAAGCTGATTTTTTCTTAATATAAGCAAAATAATGCTTGTGTTAAGCAAAAAAGTATTTTCTATTAAACAGCAATATTCTTGATTTCAAAATAATACTTCTCGGCGGCAAAAAGATTATTTTTTTTTTCAGTGAATCTGAGATGCTTATATTCGACTTTAACTATTGATTGCAGGCCATTACTGCCGTGCTAAGGAAAAACTCCGTATGGGCCTTTAAACGTTGCCAAATTTCCTTCATTAATATCGAATTTACTGGAAAAATGTTGAATATTTTTCCCGTCAATTTTTCAATTAATTTTATCCAAAACTTAAACATAAAAATATGCATTTTCCTCAAAAATGCATGTTCCATCCGGAGAAATGTGGCAACTCTCGAATGTTTATTCGGCGTTCATCCTTAGCATGACAGATTAGATTCACTGAAAAAAAAAAAAAAAAAAAAAAAAAAAAAAAAAAAAAAAAAAAAAAAANAAAAAAAAAAAAAAAAAAAAAAAAAAAAAAAAAAAAAAAAAAAAAAAAAAACACATTGGATCTAGAGTCCAGACTCTTAAAAACATCGACAAGAAAAAGTACTCTTGATTCGATCAAAGTCTAGCTTAAATCAAGAACCAAACTTCTTAATTTAAGCGGATTTCGTTTTGATTCAAGTAAAAATCCGATTGAATCAAGAGTATTTTTTCTTGTAAATGTTTTCAAGAGTCTGGACTCTAGATCCAATGTGCTTTTTCTTCCAGTGTTCCTTGTGCAAATCGGTTATTTTGATAATAAGCTTAAAATACTTTCTTAAAGAAAAATAAACATTCCATTTTACTTGTCATTATCCTTCTCTCCTTGAAAACCCTTTTCTTGATAACCCATGCATAGCTCGCAGATAATGATGTAAATGGAAGGATAAGACGTACCTTGGCCCGTGGACTCCATTCGCGAAGCAGTATTTACAGTATCACCAAAAAGGCAGTACCTCGGCATTTTGAGACCCACGACTCCGGCAACACAAGGTCCTGAAAAAAAGCAAAAATAAATTTTAGAAACTTACTCGTTCAGAATACTTAATGGTATTGAGCATGTTTCAGAGATTGTCGAAACATCCATGATGCGTTTTCCACAGTTTTGGTTAACGTTAGTGGCATGGCTACTTTATCGTAACCTTTTCTCAGAAATGCTTTCGAAAAAAATGTCGAGGTTTTTTGTTTAATAATAGCATATGTTCGGCGAGGATATTATATGGTCAAAAAGCACTATGCTTCATAAAGAAGATGAAATCAACGACGATCATAAAGTGAGAAAAACTATGCATCAGAAATACCTTCAAATATACCTCTCTTTGATTAAGAAGTATGACAAGCAGGCGGAAAGTCCTAATACGTATAAGTATTAAAGAATCTTTAAGAAGTCATGGGGTTTTAAAGAAAAAATGGTAGTTTTTATTTCTAATCAGTAAGTTTTAAAGAGGAAGACATTAGTGTTATCTACTGCTAGAATTCCCAAGTGTAAGAACCCACTTATTACTATGAATGTAACCAAGATTCCAAAAGCAGACAAGGTTTTTACAAAACCCGAGGAAAACTGTTGTGAAGTGAAGGTATGACAACAATTCGGATGAAAAATACTCTAATTAATCGATACAAGTAAAACGGTAAGGGTTGAAACCTTGTGATCCTTTATTCTGAAGAAACGTCGGGCCGATTTGTTTTATTTTTGTTACAAACGAAAGCTGATGATGCCCAGATGATACAAAAATTCGAAACTTTCAATAGCCACTCTTAAAAATCCCATTATCACTGGTGCTCAGTGGAAATGTCCAGCGGAAAATGTCCAAGAGACAAAATGTCCTGGTTAAAATGTCCAATTGTCATAATGTCCACGACAAAATGTCCAGAAGCTGAAATGGCCAAAATTCAAAACGTCCAAAACCTAAAATGTCCGAAACTTAAACGGGCGTAAAACAAGTATTTTTTGCCTCGCCTTTATATGTGGCAACAGGTCAGAGAGACAGCTGAAGTTGATTTCATATTATGAATGAGTGTAGGTTTTCATATTTGAGATTACCATGACGATGCTGCAGGAAACAGAATTGTCAATCGTACTTCTCAATTTGGATCAAAAACTGAAATCGTAAGTGCCATAAAATTTGCATAGTCTTTCATTTTTAATGTGTAGTGTACAATTGGACCTAAATTGCCAAAATTTGCTAAAAACCAAATAAAACATCCGATTAGTCGCCGGTATATCACTAATCAAGCCAGAGTTGAAAGTATCGTGGCTAGCTATGGGCAATACAAGGAACATGAAGCGGTTGATGTTTATCTGAGAGCCATTTCCTACGGATTGAAGAAACCCAAAAGAATTGAAGAAGAAAACGAAGAAGGAGAGGCTTGAGGCATTACGTAAGCTGATGTTAAGCCATTTTGATTTTGCATATATGCGGACCTATGGGACATAAGGGACATTTTGCATATGGGACATTTTGCATATAGGACATTTTGAATTCTGGACATTTTAGCTTTTGGACATTTTGTCGTGGACATTATGACAATTGGACATTTTAAATAGGACATTTTGTTTATTGGACATTTTTTATTGGACATTTCCACCTGTCACCTTATCACTGGCAAAGAGAGCTGAAGCAGCCAGTATGGGCAATCAAATTTACTATAAACTTTACCGCCCTCAACGAAGTAGATTCATAGAAATATCGTCCATACATTCTTCCGTGGTTTGTCTTGGAGACCATTGAAATTTACATGCTGATAATGATCTCCTCATGAATTGAAGGGTCAAGAGACAGCTCTCCACCATCTTGTTGATAAGTTGTTGATGAGCCATTGGATCGCTACAGTCCTGGTATTTTAGTGCTAAGCCAGCATCACACGATTAAAGTAAAGCTTTCAAAGTGGCACCGATTAGAATAAGATCTTCACGAATTTCCTTGAATATTTCTAGAAGCGATCTTTGATGTATCTCATACACATCGGTTACCTTCAAGGATCATCGGGCCGACGATGTTTGAGAGGCTAACAGTCAACAATGCCATAAGGCACAAAGCGCTCTCTATTAGCTGGAAGCTTACACTTGGAAGGGAACCGAGATGCGTGCACGCCAAAACTATAAAGCCAGAACTAGGTTTTAAGCGTTGGTTCACGATAAAAAGGACAGTACATAACTTCAAGTTCGTTTAATTTCATTGTCAGTCTGAATCGAAATAAACCCTATCTTCGTCATTCAATGGTGACACTCTATCCTAGTTTGGAGCTTATTCACCTGTGCGGCCAATAAACACACGTGCGGAAAACGTAAATGTTAGTGTAATTAATGGATAGGCAGGTAGAAAACCGATTGAGAACGAAGCAGTTATTGCAGGGAGGGATCCCCTGCATTTGCCCCCTCTCCCACCCCTGCTTGATTTGCGCAGTGGCGTGGCGTGGGGTGCTTTGCGATGTATCGATTGATCTGCCCTTTAAACCTATGGAAATGGATCGATAGACAGGGTGTTCACAACGAGCAGCTTAATAATCGATTCCTTACCATAGCTTCAAATGAGTAAATATCCAAAATCGATCATTCACGCTTCGCCACAGCCCTTCTTGATTTGCGATCAAGGTTGTCTCTATAATTGAATTTAATTTAGCCGTTACTTGGAGTCTGAACAATGATTGCCAGATCGAATCATTATGAGAATTTTCTTGGCGTGATCATGAGTTCGATACACGAAAAAAGGGTGCGTGTTGGAAACACGAGGCGGGTTAGTCAATTGGCGTTGCGTAATGGAAATGTTGCATGTGTAAGGAATTTGCGATTTGACTTTTGATTCCTATGTAAAAGTTCACGAGAAACACGATGGTCCCCCTGATTTCTCTGAAATCAACTCCCAAGCTCAAAAAAAGCTCTCAAATTGAGGCCAAAATGGAGAGGATATCCCACGCTATCCTGAGAGTCGACGTCTACATCAAGACGAACTCTCCATGCAAAGATAGGGCGCAAATACATTGACAGGGCTGCCACTTTATTTGGGGGCTCTAAAACTGAAAACACGGCAACCCTGTTACGACTGATGGCTCATACGGCGTTCTTGCAGAGCACGGCAGAATTGAGCTACTCATCTTGCGTCTCCGATGTAAAATCGTTTTTGTGGCGAGAAAAATTTGATGCGAAGAATACGGCAAGAAAAATGAAAAATTCGATGAAGAAAATTTACAACATTTCAGACCTCTCACAATTTTAGATTCCGCTATTTTTCTTGTGATCTCATGCGATCACCGGAAAATGTTTGGGCAAAACCTGCACAGGTTCTTTTTATTACAATTTGAGTTTTTTAGTCAATTTTGCAACCTTGGAATAAAGTTGTGTTCCTTCGTCTAGTACGATAAATACGATGATTTTTATAAGTATAAATGGACGTATTTCTATCAAACGGACCTAAGCGACATAGGGCGAGGAAGATAGAGGAGGGCTTGGATTGGCAGCGGAATCGGGCGTCCGGCTTATTCCGTCCTATACTCGCAATGCTTTTCCATGGCGGTGGCGCTTAGGTCCGTTTGACACACGGAAAAAAATTAAATGTTGATTTAGCATTTACATTGTTAAAAATATGTCCGAAAAGTTTCAAATGCTGATTTTACATTTGGAGCAATGCTAACTTAACTACGCCCACTGTAAAACGAACAAATTCAAATGTTGAGTCAGCATTTTTGTGTTGTAAAATTAGCATTTGAGACTTGACGGGCTTTTTTTTTAACAATTTAAATGCTGAACCAGCATTTAATTTTTTTCCGTGCAGAACGCGCTATCCGGGATTCTAAATTCCTCAAAAGGAACTCCAATTGGCGCTTAGTTCCGTGTGATAGAAATACGTCCAAATATGAATATTATACCAAAAAAAGGGGATGGAATTTACAACCGCCCCTTTTCCTCCTTTTGAAATTCGAGGATTTTTCCGGACAGGCTGGCAACAGACCTCGATGAGCGCCGATTAACTAAATTCCCGCGTAGCGGCAGCGCGGATGCGTAAAATGAGCGGCCGATTAAAAGCCCTCGCAAAGGATGAATTTGAAACTCGACCCGTCGGCGCGGCAGGGGCAGGGTTGATTCGTTATCGACTGAAAGTTTTAAAACTTCACTCATCGACCTCCGTTCCGCACCGGACGCACCCTTGGATCCGCAGTGTCGCGACGTCAACCGCGTCGCACAATGGATCGAGTCGATAGGAGGGGGCGGACGCGATGGAGATGTTGCATGTGTGAGGGATTTGCGATTTGACCACTGATTCTTATGTAAAAGTTCGCGTGAAACACGATGGTGCCACTGCTTTTCTCTGAAATCATCTCCTAAGCTCAAAAAATCCTCTTAAGTTGAGGCCAAAATGAGTGAAAATCTGACGGGCAAATGTAAAACGGAACTGCCGCAGCATGGATTTGAACCCTAGTCGCGGCGGTGATAGACGAGTGCGCCACCACTTTGCCAATTGGCGCTGGTACCAGAAGGCCTTGAATGCAGATGTTGCATGTGTGAGGAATTTGCGATTTGACCACTGATTCTGAGGTAAAAGTTTGCGAGAAACACGATGGTGCCACTGGTTTTCTCTTGAATTAACTCCCAGGCTCAGAAAAAGCTCTCAAGTTGAGGCCAAAATGGAGGGGATATCCCACCCTACCCTGAGAGTCCACCTCTAAATCAAGACGAACTCTCTCCATGCAAAGATAGGGAGCAAATACATTGACAGGGCTGCCACTTTAATTGGGGACTCCACAACTGAAAACACGGCAACCCTGCTAATGTATTTGCCCCTATCTTTGCATGGAGAGTTTGTTTTGATATAGGGGTGGACTCTCAGGGTAGGGTGGGATATCCCCTCTCTTTTGGCCTCACTTTGAGAGCTTTTTTTGAGCTTGGGAGATGATTTCAGAGAAAACCAGTGGCACCATCGTGTTTCTCGC